TCAGACAGGAACATTTATTGTCACTGTAATGAGCTTTTAGGAGGAAACTTTGTGAGGAACAGCGCCCTCTGTAGATCAGACACTGAGTGTTACCTGGAGGAAGTGGATGTGATCGTGTGTGTGTGAAAGCTGCTCCAGCTCAGTGACTCTCCTCTTAAGATCAGCAATCTCCTGCTCCAGTTGCTCCAGGAGTCGTTCAGCTCGACTCAGTTCAGCTTTCTCCTGAGCTCTGATCAGCTCCTTCACCTCCGAGCGCTTTTTCTCCATGGAGCTGATCAGCTCAGTAAAGATCCTGTCACTGTCATCTACTGCTGCCTGTGAACGCTTCTGTTAAGAGACACCCACACCCACACCCACACACACACACAGAGCTTCATTTAAAGTTTGAATCTTTCTTTTACTGTGACCCTATTTTGTCCATTTTGTGTGTGTGTATTTTTGTGTGTGTGTGGGGGGGGGGGGGGGGGGGGGGGGGGGGGGGGGGAGTTTAGGTTGGTAGGAATTTCTGTCTGTGACTCCTCACCTTAATAGTGTCCACAGTCTGTTTCAGCTCCTGGACCTCCTTCTGCTTCTCCTGGATCCTCTGCTGGGATTTCATCTGCTCCTCTTTTAGCTCATTCTGAGACCAAATAAAATACATTTCATTATTTCTGAATCAGGAGCTCAGCATGTAAATATTAACTGCAGCTAAAGAGTTAAACTTCCTGTAACTTCCTATAAAACTCCATGTCTTTCTTTCTGCACTAGAGATGAAGTTTTCACATTATGGGGCTTTGTGTAGATCTGCTAAATGCAAACGCTTCACTTCATACTATCCTTTTTCTCACTTGAAAATCAATGCGTTGGATAAAGAGTTTTCCAGCCATCAGTACTCACCAATTTCTCTAGAATTGCTCTACTCATGAAAGGTGAATACTAGACCTCTATCAGTATATATCAGCTACATAACATCATCGCACTGAGACACCCCCTGTAAGACAGCTCTCAAAGCTCACAGCTCTTCCCATCTCTCAAAGCTCTCACCCTTTCTGTCTCTTGTGGCCCCTTACATCAGCCCCATCCTCTGAAGCATTGCAGACGCACTCTACTCCTCTGATGCATCAGATACTTCCTCTCTTACCATCTGAAACTTTGCAGATGTGTTCTCTCCCTCTCTGAAGGACTGGAGATGTTATTTTTCTTAGAAGCATCAATGTGCTCTCCCCCAAGGATCAAAGACGCTCCATCTCAGTCTCCCTCACACTTTGTTGCTATCTTTTTCTAACCAATGGCAACCTAACTGCCTTTCTCTATCGACTTCATCTAAAACCAAGATACTGGGTCTCAGAAAAAAGATACAGCATTCATCGATTTTAGCTCTTTGGGGCCTGTCTATCTAGTGCAGAGGTTAGTGCACCACTTATAAAAATGTAGAGTGGTCAAAGCTCATGGTTGCAGAAAATTCTCAACATCCATTTGCAGTCATTTGCCCAAAAAGTTTGGGAACCTCTAGCACAAAAATAGAAGCTGTCTAGAACTCCAGCTCAAGTTCTCAGAGTTCTCGTCACATTCATTGTTACACAATCACTTCATGTGTCATTTAGGTGTGGTCCTTGCTTGCAAATGAGACCTTAAACATGTCTTGCAAACTTACAGTATGTAGTGGTACAGTATGTATCGGGCAGTGGTAGAGTATGTATCGGGCAGTGGTAGCTCAGTGGTTAAACTGTTGAACTATGGATCGGAAGGGTGTAGGTTCAAATCTTGCCCCTGCTGGGCCCTTGAGCAAGGCCCTAAACTGCTCAGTTGTATAAATGACATAAATGTAAGTCACTCTGGATAAGGGCATCTGCCAAATGCCATAAATGTAGTGAATTTTTAATGTATGTAAATATAAGCATGTCTAAAATAAAATTTATTAAAAACTACAAGAAATAAAACAAATCAGAATTTCAAATGAAAACTGAAAATAATATAAACATCAACACCATAATAACACTGTTACAGAGCTGTAACATGTCCATGTGTTCACTTTAGCTGTAAAATGCTGTAAGAATGTTGTTGGGTGTTGGCTGTATAAGCCATGAATGGTCTGACCTGTTTAACACTTTATTACCAACAACCCTTTGATTTTAATAAAAAATAATTTCGTAGTGAATGACAGGCATAAAACCAATTAAATCAAAAAATCAAATTTAGATTAGACAAAAGAATTTGTATAAATTTATTTGGAAAAGAATAATGACATCCAGTTCTTACCTGTTTTTCAGTTCTTTCTGCTTTAGTTGAAACCGTATCATGGCCTCTGTGTTCATCCATCGTACACAAATAACAGATGAAGCTTTGGTCAGTACGACAGTAGATCTCGATCGGTTTGCTGTGTTGAGAGCAGATCTTCTCTTGGAGCTCTGCACAGGCTTTAACTAACTTGTGCTTCTTAAAGGCAGGAGACTGATAGTGAGGTTGAAGATGATCTTCACAATAGGAAGCCTTACATACCAGACAGGAATTAACAGCTTTGCGTTTTCTTCCAGTGCAGGAATCACACTCCACATCTCCAGGTCCAGCGTAACAGTGAGCAGGAGAAGCAGCTTGGAGTTCAGTCTTATTTTGTTTTTCCACCACTTCAGCCAGCATGTTGTTCCTGCCTAGAACAGGCCTTGGAGTGAAAGTCTCTCTACACTGGGGGCAGCTGTAGACGCCCTTCAGATCCTCCTGATCCCAGAAGCCATTAATACACACCTTACAGAAATTGTGGCCACAGGGAATCGTCACTGGATCCTTCAGGAGATCCAGACACACTGGACAGCTGAACAGATCCTGATCTACTGAAACACTGGCTTCTGCCATTTTCCTGCACTCAAACACTGAAAATAGAGTGAGAGAAAGTGAGACCGTTTTGTTTTCTTGGAAAAGAACTTCCTGGTTCTGTCTGTGGTGAGGTGTGGATTTAAAGTGACAGTGAGGCTTTAAAGGAAAAGTATAGAGAATTTTTAGTGTAAATTAGCTTCCCTGTGATTTAAAGATTCAAATTAATTGAATTCTGATTTGTTATAAATATCTTTGTTTCATGACCACATATTGCATATTCGAATGCGTTTTTACATCATTACTGGAATGTTTATGCATAAAATGCAGGGGTGTCTTGTATCAATGGGGTAGCAGAGCTAAGCTCCGTCTTTCAAAGGTAAAAGAAAAGTCAGTCTATGTTTTCCTTTTTGGCCTCCACATTGTCTTATTTGTAGTTAACAAATGTTTAATGAGGATAATTTTGGATTTTTTGAAATCAGCGGTCATAAAAGAAAAACACACAGAATGATATGAAGCTATGCTGTGGGATCCTTATGCTTGCTCATTTTTCCTGCTTCCAGCACATCGATTTCGAGAACTGACTGTTGACTCGCTGCCTAATATATCCCACCCCTTGACAGGTGCCACTGTAACAAGATAATCAATGTTATTCACTTCACCTGTCAGTGGTTTTAATGGTTTAACTCCGTTAACTTGGTGCCATTTTAGCCACACGGCGTTGATTCATGCCCGCACATCTGGAACCCAGGTACTTGAACTGAGTGACGTTGTTTTTACGTTGCAGTTTTGATGCGACCAGATAAGTACTCCAGCCAGCATGTCGCTCTGCCTGTCGTTGAAGCTCCCACCATTCGCCAAGTTCCCAAAGGTCCTTGTTTCCAGCTGGCACCACAAAGGGTGGTGGGATTTCGCCAGCCTGTGGCATCAGTTATTTGTCATCTGACATCCACACTTCATTAAGCTGTCTATAAAATTAAACGTACTGTATTTCTCACATTCCATCACAAATGAGCACAGCAGTAATTTCAGTAGTGCTGAGGCCAAATAAGGATCCATCATTATTTTCAAGCCAAGTCACTAATCAGTACAGCCCTTAAAACAGAGGGGTGTAGCAACAAAAGTGAAAATACTTAATCATTGCACTTGCAAATACATTGAAGGATTACTTCTACTTTACCAGAGTAAATCTTTCATCTTTCAATCTATCAACTTTACGTTTTACTTCACTATTTTCAAAAGCAAGAGGCTTATGTATTTTACTGTAATAATTTTTATAAACACTTTCATAACATACTGCAATATTAGCATTTGTTATTGCCCACTCTCAATTTGAAAATAAAATAAAATAAAATAAATAATACATCATTTCTCACCAATGTCACTCTTCAGTTTTGTGATTCGGTTGCAAATGTTCAAAGAACCGATTCAATAAACCGATTTGAAGAGTCAATTCATTCGTTTTTATTATTTTTTTATTTATTTTATTAATTAATTAATTTATTTTTTTACCTCAGAGACAACTTCAAGTGGAATCCAAGTGGTAAGAGTTTTTAGTTGGTGAGTTTCTGAAATAACTGCAACATTAAACATTTTTATTAAATCAGTAGTTTAGATGAAAATATGAAGCTTTATTTTAACAGTTAATCTTTAGCTAATTTTCAAACAGCATAGTTATCCTGTCAGGTTAGCTTGTGTCAGCTAGCTGTCTAGCGTTAGCCACCACTGAAGACTGCATTACACTGATGAATTGTGCTAAAATAAATGAAAAGTTTAGTCTCCAACTTCAGTCTGTCACCATCAGCAGAAAACACACACATTACTTCACTCAGTAAGGTTTTTTTTTTTAATAAATGAGTAAATAAATTGAGAATATGCTAGTGTCCAGTTAGCTAATGTTACTATAGTAACAAACAGCTCATGCTGAAAGGATTGTGTGTGTATGGCCCATGAAAGCCTTTCTGATAAAACATGAAAAACAACATGGAGAGATCATACTGCTTTTCTCTGTTTTTGACATCCAATTATCCCACTATTAATACCAAAATAAAAATAATACCAAGTATAATACAAGTACATTATAAGTATTATAATAATACCAAGTATCTTTCTTGTGGGTTACGGTAAATTTGATTTATTTCTCAGTCATTTTTTTTTTTTTTTTTTCACTTTTATTCAACTGTGACTTTTGGGTAGCATTTTTGAAATCGCATCAATTTTATGACTTAGACAGTCATACATCTTATATTCCCAGATGAAACAGGATTTACAGTCTCAAAGCAGAAGACTTGAGTAATAAGTGCTGTCTCTTTAACTTTATTAAAGTTTTCAAGCAAAGCAATTACATACCATTGTTTTTTTTTACCTCAGTGCTGAAACTTAATTTAATAGAGTAAGTAAGTCCTTCATCTGTAGCACATTACAGAACATAGTATTTAGAAAAGGCCGATACACACTGAATTTAAATAGTTCAACTTTAGCATCAGTCATTACAATATATACAATATTATTTCACAGATTTTTCCTTTTTTTTTCTACTACAGAATGCTAAATTAACATCTCAGCTTGAAGTGCAACACAAAAGACATATCTATATATACAGATAAAGTATAAACATTTTTACAAAGTCTTAAAATGTCTTACCCTTTAAACAGGAACAAACAGCTATCACCCAGGGAGGGTGAAGGCTAACACATGAACGAAACTGCTCGACCCATACAGTGTGGAGGTCCGGTGGCTCTTCCACCTTACTAACTCACTTGATGTTGGTTTTTCCTTTAATTTGTTGATTTGTCATTTGTGTAATCTATGTTCCCTTATTTATTGTGGTTCTCAGTTATCATGCTGTTATACAGAACCCTAGACGAAGTAAAATGGATATAATAAAAGTAATAATGGTTCTACTGGCTGAATTATCAATGCAACCTGTTCAGCCAAAATGAGCTGGTTTAGATTTTAACTTGAAGTGGAACCATACTAAACATATTTAAGGAAGATTTATGTGCTTGGATCGTTTTTTTTTTATACTAAACAAGAAAAAGAGCAAAAAAAATCAGCTTTGTCTCTATATTGCAGAAGTTGCAGATGTAGAAATGGCGAAATATAAATTAAAACCTCTTATTTGCGTGCACACACACACACACACACACACACAAACACAGGCCAGCTTTTCTTGAAGGTTTTTTTTTTTTTTTTTTTAACAAAGAAGATTTAATGCTGCTAACTATGGATTTCAGTTTGCTGTTTGTAGGAACTAACATTGGGCCTCATCTTTGCATAATCATATACATAAGAAATTTCATATCAATAGCCTACATTTCACTTCTGAGTTTGTGTAAATTTAGATATAAGTAGAGTCGTTAATGTGAACCTTGATTAATCAGCTTCAAATCATATAATTGTCAATGAGTTACTGGGATATATACAGTGTGTGCGTGTATATATATATAAAGGTGTTCCTAATAAAGTGGACAATGAGTATATACAGTATATCCATCCATCCATCCATCCTCTGTTCCATCCTCTGTACCGCTTTTCCTACACACGGTCGCGGGGGGAGCCTGGAACCTATCCCGGAAGACTCAGGGCATGAGGCGGGGGGACAGGCTGGACAGGGTGCCAATCACACACATACACTCACTCACTCACCCATTCTTACACTACAGACAATTTGGAAATGCCAGTCAGCCTTCAACGCATGTCTTTGGACTGGGGGAGGAAACAGCAGTACTTGGAAGAAACCCCCGAAGCACAGGGAGAACATACAAACTCTGTGCACACAGGGCGGAGATGGGACTCAAACCCCCAACCCCGGAGGTGCGAGGCAACAGAGCTAACCACTAAGCCATTGTGACCCTGTCCACTTTATTAGGAACACCTGTACACCTGGTTATCTAATCATCCAATCATGTGGCAGCAGAGCAATGCAAAAAATCATGCAGATACAGGTCAATATCTTAAGTTAATTT